GGGGGGGGTGCAGGGCTCCGTCCCCCCCCGTGTCCTCGGTGGCTCCCGGGGGTGCTCAGGGCTGGCAGACGGCCATGTCAGCCCCGCGCTGACCCCTTGCTCGCACATCCCCTGCGCCACCCCAGCTCTGCAGCGTCTGGCTGTGCTGCCTCCCCCCCCAGCCCTCAGCATCCCCGGGCACAGGGGGGGACAGGGACGGGGAGGGCTGCCCCGCAGCGGGGGGGACGTGGGGCAGGTCCTGCTGAGCCCCACCTGCCCCATCGGTCACCGACCAGCTGTCAGCCCCGCTGCCTCGCGCCGGCAACGCGTGGGAGAGAAACCATGGGGTTTCATCCCTCAGCAGCCCCGAGGGTCTTCGTCCGTGGGAATTCGGTGGGGTGGGAATTGGGAGCCTCATTTCTCCTCTTGCTGCCGGTGTGTTTGCTGGCACGGTGCTGGGAGGGATGCCCGGTGTCTGGGCAACAGGAGAGGGGTGGGGGAAGGAGGAGGGACCGAGTCGGGGTCCCCCGGGTGGGGGACGGACCCTGACCCCGTGCCTCTGCCTAGGCTTGGCCGCGGCAGCATGGGGGGGGGGCAGCCGCCGGCGGCCGCCCGTCCTCGCCCCGTGGGCTGCGCGGATGTCATGGTGGGCCATACGCGGCAGGTATGGCACGGGGACAGGGATGGGGACAGGGACAGGGATGGGGATGGGGACAGGCTTCCATGCACAGCAGGGTACCTGCAGCCAGCCGGGATTTGCAAGGGCTGAGCTCTCTGAGGACATGGCCACCGCTGCTCCGTGCTGTCCCCACCATGTCCCCCCTTCCCCTCTCTCCTGCAGGGGCTCTTCCTCCGTCTCTTCTACCCCTGCCTGCCCCGGGCAGGGGCTGAGCGGCCGCTCTGGATCCCGCGCTATGAATACTGCGGTGGGCTGGCCGACTTCGCCCACTGCAGCCGGCGCTGGTGCGCGCCCCTGCTCAGCGTCGCCATTGGTAAGGGGGCGGCCAGCACCCCGTCCCCCATCCCAGGTGCTCCCCCGTCCCCTGGGCATCCGCTCCCTTAGCGGGGTTCAAGGACACCAAGCCCGTCCCCCCTGCTCAGGGAAGCTGGGTGGCAGGGATGGAGACGAGCAACAACCCGCTGCAGCAGCAGCACCCCTTTTCCTGGGGGGTTTCTCTTCCCCGCAGGCTCCTGCAGAGTGCCGGTGAGCTGGAACGGGCCTTTCAAACCCTGCAGCGGCGGGGACCCCCTGATAACCTTCTTCCATCGCC